TGTATCAATAATGCAAAATATTGTAGCAATGAATTTCACTACTGTGTATGACACGTGTTACTGTTGCAACAGAAGATTATTATAGGACTGTTGTTGTACTATTTTAAAACGAATATGATAGAGTAGTATCTCACACCAAAGATCTATGCCAGATCTGTGAAATGAAAAGGCCTTAATGAGCTTCACCTTCACAGGACTATATAGCCACATGAGAGCTTAACTCGCATCCTAGAGAACAAAAGCTGAAGAACAGATGCATGAGGTCAGGACACAGTGAGTAGCATATTTTTCTGCTGTGTGAGCAACAGCACAGAGAGATAAAAAGAGAGAGCTGCTGATGTCTGATTAGATTCGGGCTAATTAAACTGGCAGACTCTAGAAGAGTCTTCAAAGAACTTAGTTTTGACAAGCTTCACTTTCTAAAGGAAATAAGATTTGGTTATACATTTACAGACCTTAGCAGAAGACACAATTATCTCTTGTTTTGGGGAGGTTTAAAGAAGAGAATGTAAACTCTAAAATGCACTAGCATCTCTGCAGTAGAAAAAAACAGAACCACTGCAATGATTCCTCTTTGACTTTTTATATCAAATTCATTTCAGTGATTAAAAGCAGATGAAGATGAGCGCAGTGAGTCAAAATACATAAGGAATTCAGACAAGGACTCTTCAATTTTGGGAATGCGGTCACGCAATCTTGTACAATCAGGTGTTGTTGAACAGTCTGAACCTAGGCATTGCTCATTCCCCAAAAATTCAGTCCACAAAACCACACTGTAGTACAACTGCAATGTACAATGATGCGTCAAAGCCAAAGAAAACATGCACCCTCTGCTCTGTCGGGAACGGACAAACAACTCAGCATCACATCTTGACAGAGCATGTGCCCTGTGCCTGGTCAACAGAGGAAACAGTTATACTAAAGCCTTAGAGCAAAATCTAAACAGGAAGTAAGGAGGATTTCATGGTAAGCTGCGTCACAGGGAGTACTGTTACGCACCATTTTGAATAGGTTGTTTACCTCGAGTGCTTGAAAAAAAACATTTCCTCAGTATCCTCACAATTATGAAAACTGGAATCTGGTAGTCATCTAACTTTGCTTGTGTCTCATATTTCTGCTTAAGCTTTCCTGAGCGAGGTGCTTGAGTGGTTAGCCTTACCCAAAAACTAATACACCCAGTCATCATGCAGTCACGTGCCTTAACCATAAGTCTCAGTGTCCAACGAACTCAGTAAAAAAATAAATGAGTACATGATGAGTTATTGTTTTACTTGTTTAAAATATATATATGTAATACAGATAATATGCTTTATGGTGCTGATATCACTACATACACACGCGTGTACTGGCAATGTCATCAAACAGGTGTACTACCTTCAGTAGTCCCAAAATGCTGATCCAAGCTAACAGGCATACTATCAATTAAAGTCTTGACAAAAGCATTAACACAACTGGTATGTTCAGCATGTCTTACAGCCATTCTTTGGGGTCAACCAATTCAACATTTTTCTGATTAGTTGTAACGTTACTTTGAACTGATTCTCTGTTCAAAATTTGAGCTACTTTATCTCTGATACAGTCGCATCTGTGTATACATGGATTTTCAAGAGGTCTGACATAAAAGGAAAATGCTTAGATTTCTGTTAAAATCAGGTAAAACAGGCTTGTTGTCTTTACTAATGCTCACTGTTATGCGTAGGCAACCCCCAAAAGGCCCGGTCTGAGCAAGGAAAAAAACCCTATCTGTTGTCACTCTGTAGTCTTGAGCAATGTCCTGCTGAGAGCAGTGTGTGATTGCTCACACGTAATGAGTACCACCATGTCAGTAAGTAAGGATGCATGTTTAAAAGCTCTCTTTTAAATAAAGGCGTGTAAAACATGAATAAACAAAGCCATTTCAACAATGTGTTGTGTTGGAATTGGTGTTACTGAAAATTTTGAGACCCAGACTTTAATTTTTACTGCAAATATATAACACTGTCAAAAACCATGATTGGTTTAGAGATTGGTTTGGTTTTAGAGAAATGTATTTTTACCTCTCAGTTTCCTTTACAAAGCAAGGCCTCGATCAGGCAAATACTGTCTAGCATCAGTGTCTCAGAGTCGGGAGGTGTTTGCCCCGATTTAAACGTGATGGCAATACCATCACGCCTGTAAAGTCCACACAACAATAAAACACTCACGCACTGACGCTTCCACGAACAGCACGTTTCTTAAACAATTCAAACCACAACTCAAACAGCCTAAACTCTGTCTACAGTTGTGGCGCCAGTTCACAGCTACCTGCCATAAATGAGTTCATGACCTTAAGGCCCCCAAACCATGAAGGGTCAACCTAGATAAACCACTTGGTTACTCTGTCCTTCTAGTCTCTATGTGCCAAGTCCACTCTCCTCTTATGTATCCGTGATATTACTAACTGTTGAGAGGAACTCTGGACTTATGATGCATTTTCTGGCCCTTCCCCCAACTGTGGCAAGTAAAATGGCTTCCTAGAAACGCATATCAGCTGTCCCTGTGCTAGACCAAAGCACACATAGGTGTTGCCTTACTACGCAATAGTAATTTTGATGCAAATAATAAAATCGTAGACGTTACACGACTAGGAGTGGTACTGAGTGCTAGCTGGTATAACTGAGGATATAATGTGCGGAGACTCGAAGACAGCAAACCAAAAGTTTTTGCTAGTCACTGTGAGAAAACTAACGACTCTCATGGGCCGGAGATTAGTTAAACTTTGCTGTGTGCGGTGGAGAAACTGCAAGCAAGTAAAATTATTTTTGTCCACGCTTAAAATTGACTCGCTTTGAGGTAATCAAGAGTTTAAATCCCGAAGCTGAAAATTAGCACTACAGTATATTTGCATTATCAATAAACTGTAAAGTGTGAGCAGGCTTTGTTTATTACTTGCACATCGATAGTATACAACAGTAATCTCGTTGTCGATTACATAATTAGGACAAGTTATCAAACTTATGTCAGCCATAGCTAAACACAGAAAACACAAACATCAGACGTCATGACCTGTTAGCTAACATTACAGGAACAAAAACATGACCACCATCACTGCGATGTTTGCCTTAGTTTTCCAGAACGGAGAGCCGCCGCACGTATAAAAGTGACATTTAGCGTTATCACCTTTTAAATATTCAACCTTACCTATCATCTTAACTCAGCAGTAGCGGCAGCGTCTAACATAATCTTTAGCAAGAGGCTAACACGCTACCTACAGGACTACCTGCATCTTTGCTTTAGCGTAACGTTAGCTAGCCCAATCTGCTAGCAGAGGCTAGGCTAGCGGCTGGCTAGCACCGAAACCATTGATTTTTTCTGCGGAATTTTAAATTAACATTCCCTCCAAATGTAAGACAACCACCAAGTACAGTGAATCACCAAATATCGCCTGTCGTGACATTCGGCATCCTTACCTCTTGTCTTCTTTTTAGGCCCAAACCATTCTAGCTATTGGAAAGCTCTTTTCTCTTTGTCTTTTCCACTTCCAGTTACACGCAAAATGGACTCAGCAAAACGCTATAACAGCTAAAACACTAAAACCAAATGGATGGTCTTCATCTTCTCCTTAAAACGCAACTGTACATCGAGTGGAAAACAAAACAAAATCATTTTCTCTCCCGGTCATTTTATTACTCCTAAACAGAAGTGGCTGATAGGTAAGACTGCTAGCTAAGTTAAGCAGCCAGCAGGTACCACAGACAGGACTGAATGCATGGATGGCAGCAGGCGGTGCTGCCTTCCGGTCCGTCGGAAAAATCTTGACCCGACCACCTAACCAAGTAAACATAAAAGGAAAGTTCATTTTTAGAAACATGACAGACAAAACTGATGATTCTTTGTCGCACTGTGCACTATCGACCTTATAAAAATAGCCGTGACTTTGATTTCCAGTTGTTTTATTCATCCTCGAGGGAATAATTATTTTGACAGAGGCCAAAGTTAGAATTATTACAAATGATAGTAACTGAGGACGTCAAGTCAAATGCAGTGATCCATTTCCGAATGTTACTCGGTCGTTTGACAGTAACAGCACGACCAATCTTTAAAGATTTGAGTATTTCCCACTCGACATGAATGCAGCACTACTGTGACGCACAGGTTCCTCAGACTTGACGTTTTGGACGGAAATCACAGAGAGCGTTTCATTGTTCTCTGCTGTTGATTGATTGCCTTACTAATTTTAAATATGCAATACATTGAGTGCTAATTTAAGCTGTCATGGGCCATTGATCGATAAATTAACACATTTTAACTTAACTTGTACTTGGTTGCAAGCCTATTTTTTTCCACCCATACATTAAATTTAACTTTAAAGTGCTTCAGTTCTGCCATCAACTCCGTACGGTTTTGTGCTTCAATGTGTAAAAAGTCATATTTATTTATACATAAATCTGTAAATGTTTGTAAGAGCCAAAGAAAGCTGGCAGAAAAGATACCTGATAAGAATCTATACACCCTCCCCTAAACAGATTGGCAGTATTTGATCAAACACATTCAGAAATATTGATCTGTTCATTTTAATCACTAAGCTGAGTCATTATGAACCGTTTTGTGGTCTGTCACACACCCAGATTCATCATCACCATCATTATCGTCATCATGGACCTAGTTTCAAAATTGATCTCATATTCTAGGACTGCTTTGACCCTTTATGCTGAAAGGCTACTTTTCAGTTCTGCATTTTAATTCTGGCAAAGGAACCATGACAAAACACTTTATATTCACAGAAAACAGCTCGTCTTCCAGCAGTACCTGGCACGGAGAGACGTGTTCTTGAAAATATTGTATTTGTAACAAGTTACCAAAAATACAAGTTATTGCAATTTATCCTTAAATTTGTGTGAAGCAACTATAATGTGTTGAAAATTAAAACCTTTTCATTTTCAGTTGAATTGAAATAAATGTTGATTACATAGTGCCAAGATGTAAGCAATCTTAGGACACTTTGAAAAGTTTTTTTTTTTTTACGATTTAAAAATCCAATATTCTTAGTAACAAAAACAAAGTTTATTTCACAGTGAAACAAGCAAATGCATTTTCTTAGCAACAAGACTTCTTAACTTTAAACTAATTAGAAATCTGAACAAAACATAACTTGTACTCTGTATCCTTTAAAAGGTCACATTATGTTTTATGTGTTTCTACTCCAGACATGGTGTTGTTCTATAAAGGTTGTGAGTTGTACAGATCAGCATTGACTAAAAATATATTCCAAGTACAAAATCCCAAGATTTAACATGAATAATCAAATCAGTTTCCTCAGATATTTGAAGTTTATATCCTTAATAGACCTACAAACTTGAGAAAATATTGAACTGGTAGAAGTAAGAGGGAAAATAGGTTTTGACAACACAAAATATGTCACACTGGCCAATCCAAAAAAGTCTCTTGTTCTCCTCTCATCCTTGTCCATTATTAACAAAGGTGTGTAAAAGTCCAAACCATTCAGATTCAACCAGCTGTGATGGGTTTTAGAAAAAAATAAAAAAAATCTTTGTGAAACAAATAACAGCAAGAAAACCCACTTCTTCCAAAATATTTATTTCTTCTTTTTCTTCTTCTTTGGAGGTCCTTGATCTGAATCGCTGCTGCTTCCTGAGTCTGAGCTGTCTGAGGATGAAGAGGAGGAGGAGGAAGAGGAAGATGAGGAAGAGCTGTCATCGTCGCTGTCACTGCTGCTGTCGCTGTCATCTGAAGAGGAGCTGGAGGAGTCGCTGCTGTCTGAAGATGAGTCATTGGAGGAGCCGTCTGAATCACTGCTGCTGTCGCTCGAGTCTTTTGCCCTGAGAGCAAGTGGCGGAGCAAGACGGTGAAAACATGAACACACAAAACTAAACAGTGTTTATGGTTATCAATGCCTCGCGCTGTAACTGCTTCGGTCAGCGAGACATTACAGGGGCTGTGGTGGCCGTTGTGGTGTCACATAAGGAGAGAAGAAGAAGAAGAGATGCGAAGGGACTTTTAAGTGTTTTATACCTTGCTCACTTTTCTGGAGCAACACTTACATGCTCTGTTTGCAGACATTGGAAGTTAAATAACACACCGCCTGCAATGCTACAAGTGCCGATCTGAGAGGTTTAAAGAAAATAGGGGCAAACTGAAAACATGACCTGCACATGTACTCTTTTTTTTTTTTGTTTTTCTTTGGATGTTGAACATACCAGTATAAGGTAGTCACTCCACAGGAAATGCCATCATGGTAGAGTTTGCCTATCAGGGTTTCATCAGTGTCTTTTGTGAGCAGCGAACGACACTATTAAAGTTACTGATTTAATCACCAGCACCACTTTGTCATAAGTCTCTGATGTCTCTTGAATAATGGCATCTGTGCCTCTACTACAGACAACAGGCAGCTACAAATAGCACAACACCAGAATGTATGCTGGAGCCCAACTTTGTACAGAGATGGGAAAGTCCACACTGCATAAAAGTGTAACATCCGTTTGTTTAATTTGCTTTGACACTTTTGGAGCCAAAAGTCACAACTCAACCTGAGAATATAAAAGGCAGTGGCTTATACTCTGACGGGTGGTGGCACACATGAGCAGGGGCAAAACGTGGAAGGACATTTCAGTTAAATAGATCTTTTGTCATAGTGTACATTTTGGCATTATTAGTTCCACCTGTGCTTTTCCTACAGTCAAAAAGTGTCTCCTGTGAAAAAGGTTTATTCATTTGGGAATAATAAAGAAACAAGAGTGCTCAGATGACAGAAGTAGGGGGTTGAGTTGCCTTTTTCACAAAAGGCAATTTGACGTGGTCCAGCAGGAGAAGCACAGGTGCAAATGATAAAATTAACGACAGCTTCATTTCGTTGCTTCAGTTTCAGGGTTGCTGGTATTTCGCACGCTGGCAGAACAGAACAGAACCATTGTGAATCTTATTAGTAACACCTGTGCTTTTCCCTGTGATCGCAGTTCAAGTTATGCTGTGAAAATCATTGATTGCCCACAAATGACACATGTAGATGTGATCAGGAATGAATACACTCATGAAAATCAAAAATACTAACTTAGCCATAAAACTACAAATGAGCAAATCTTAATTGTATTACAAAACTGACTGAAATCAAAAACATAACGCTTGCAGCAACTAAGATCGTCCACTAGAGGTCACTGTTAAGTCACATTACTGTCCTCTGTCTATTTTTTGGACTTTAGTTTCAGTCAGAGTTTAGAAACAAGAGTGGGACGGTGATGCTGCGAAGGAGGTCATCTATATTAAACTTGCACATCTTAAATCAGAGGATGAGTTCACCGTATCTTGTTCGCAGTATCTTTATAAAATCCCATTATAGACAGATTTTCACACCATTTACCACAACTGTAGCTCTTTCAATTTTCACATGACTCCAACGGATCGGAAGCGACCTGACTAACCATCATGTGATCATATGCAAATGACAAAAAGGAAACTGAAAAGACAACCCCATAAACAATGTTCTATTGCTGGTTTTACGAATACAAGGTACATTACATTTTTCTGAAATGGCTACATGAGGCTTACCTAATTTAATAAGAAATAACCGTAAAGCCTTAATGATTCCATTTTTTGTTTAGTTTTGCTTGATAATATTCAAATGTAGGGGATTAATACAATGCCACAATGGTTCATAATTAATTAATTTCTATTATTAAATAACCTAAAATATTCCACACCACACTTGTAACTGAGTAAAGGTAAAATTTTATCTACGGGGCATTGAGGAATTTATTTATTTTTTAAGTGTATTGTTTAGAAAATGTGCTTCTCTAGCAAATATTTCCCATCCTATTACATATTGTGTGGAGCCTAAACATTCCAAACTGTCAGAATATGGTGTAGTACACATCTTACTTACTTCTTTTTAATTTTCTTCTCACTGGAACCTTCTCTTCCAGGTCTGCAAAGAGGGGAAAAAAAGGTTTAATTATAAGAACCAAAGCTTCAATTGAACTGCTAGCCACAAGCAATAAAAAAGAAAAAAAGTGTTTGTAGGAGTGTTTTTTCTTGTAGCATATGATGGATCATTCCTTCTCATGAAGAAACTGACAAGAAAAAAAAAAGAGAAAGCTGTCATCATACCAGACAAAACACACTTCCCCTCTGAGAGTTTGTAATGCTCACTGTGCAGACTTGTGAATGAATGTATTTGCACCTGGTTAATTCCAACTCAAGCACAGACAATAACTACAAAACCAATTTCACAGTCACTGGTGTTAACAATGTATGCTAAATGAATAATAAGCATCAACAGCCTTGAGCTTTGTGAGTGAGCCAGTTTTTGTACAGTCACAGTCTCACAGTTACTGTCTGTGTGCCTTACTCTGAGTGGAACAGTGGCTCCATCTAATTTACAGGCTAAATTGTCTTCGTTGTAGGTCAGAAACTACTGAGTGTTTTACTGCTCTGTGGTACGCGGTGTCTTACAACATGACATTTCGTCTGAGTTTGACACCCTCGCTGTACTTCCGATGAGCCGAATTCCCCGACTGACCCTGAAAATCATTTCACTTCAGTTGCCCACGTTGTTCCAGAGTGTTTAGCAGAGAAGATAGCTGTAAAGGTAAAAAGTGCTCGTCATGTACAAGAGCCCCCCCGACCCTATGATTATTGAGCCAAAACACCTAGACACACGAAAAAGATTTGGCCTTAGACGGAAAGTTTAAGCTGAGCAATAAATAGTGCTGTCACTCAACTACAAATAAACACAGCATATATCTTCAGTGTTGGTGAAGTTCTGTACATTTCTGATCATTTTTACCTGTTTCTTTTGGGAAAAGCTTGCTGAAACTTTATCACAACTCCCTGTGTAATACTAAGAACCATCTGGAGCAGGAAATAACCTTTGTTGCAAAAACAATACTTTCTGTAATAATTAAACTGCTTCTGCTTCGAATGCAGTCAATTAACAACTTGTGCTTCCAGTTCAGTATATAGAAGCACTAAGGCTGAAGTGAGAACAGCGTTGACATTTTCGAGGCAAGTGAGAATGGTGGCATTTTAGGGGTGAGGAAACACATTTCACACTATCATGACAGACTAACTGATGAAGATACCATACCCAGTGATGCTGAGGGGTTTGTTTTCATCCTCCTTGAGCTTCTTTTTCATCTCAACTGTTCTTGATGGTCTGTGCACATATTTCCGCTTCCCTGTGCACTCATAGGTCCAGTGTCCCATCTCCAAACACTTCTGGCAGCGCACATGTTGTTTGTTTGCCTCCCTGTATGTAATAAAACAGCCAAATATAAATGTAAGTCCTTCCAATAATAAACAATCTTAACTCTAAGTGGAATAAAATTAACACGACAGCAGCTACGTTGACACGAGCATCAATGAAGCTGTTGGAAGTTCAAAGCTTATCAGTGCTTAAAGATGCTTCCCAACATTTCAAATCAGCTATTCTTAATTCAGTAAATTCTAATACATGGTATATGTCTGTCCTCTCGTTGTTATGTTATATTATGACAAGGCTACTGAACTGAACTCTGTCTAAATTAGACAAATGTATGTATGTAATTGCTCAAGTTCTGGAAACGTTGCAGTGTAAAGAAACTGACTTGTCATTTTCTATCTGCTGGAAAGTTCCACAAACTAGGGCAGCTCTGCAGTTCTCCTAGTCCCAAAGGTGATGAGAACAATTTCCAAGGTCCAGAAAGTAAAGTTAAATTAGGATTAAAAGTCAGACAAAATATGCTGCATTCTGGGGTCAGTGTTCCTGAGCTACAAAAACAAAAAATAAGCAAGATATAAGCAAGATTTTCTAGTGATGATGTTCACATTGGATTATTATTTGTATTATTATTATTATTATTATTATTATTATTATTATTATAAGTTAGTTAGTTAGTCATTTATTATTCAGTTTGTCCTACTGAGGTACAGAGATGATATTTTTTTGAATAGTTTCAGTGGGTTTAAATCATTTGGATCTCTGCACAAAACACTGCAATATTTCTGTATTTATTGATAGTTCTCTTACCATTACAAATAGGGTTGAGACTGTCCCTTGCAGGTTGTTGCATGATGATATCTGCCTTTGTTTTGTCCAGAATTTACAATCCTTTCTATAATTTGGGGGAATGCAACAATCCCTTCTTATGATGTGAAGTGAAAAATTATCAAAATGTAAAGTGTTCTTGGCTTTTGCTGCTTTCAGATGCGTAAATATGCGCCAGCAGACAGTGGCCAGACTTAATTTCCTTGTTGTCCCTTGCGTTGGCAGCTCTAAAGCTTTGAAATAGCATCCCTCTTTCAATCAAATATTATTTTTCCACTGATATATATAGATAGATATTAAATCTCAAGATGTTGTTTCCAGTGGCTTTTGGTTACTCTTCGTGGTCTTGATATTGTTGAGATGGATCTTACAAGCTGTTGTTTTGTTTTTTAGTATTGTATATTTATTGATTTTGCAAGTTTTATTACATTTTTTGACGACTCACTTTCATCATGTAGTTATGTTGGTTGTCCTTTACGCATAACATGTTCAGCACCTTGCTTGACTGTGGTTGTTATACAACGTGCTACATAAATAAACACGAGTTGCATTTATTAAATTGTCTTGACCTGATGCTGTGTTTTGCTGTGACTTGGGGGGAAAGGTCAGGCCAAACAAACTAATTATCAAACCTTTCGGCTTCTTCAGCTCTCGTGTGGGTTGGATGTCAAATGTGACTGAAATCAGACATTATATTTATCATACCTTGACTGATATTGTGATAGGCTATATGTTGAAATGTAAACAAGGTTGTCGTGATGTTTTTTGCCCCTGGATCAGTCCTGAATTGAAGCCGCAATGGAACAACATTTTCACTTGACAATGAATAAGTTAGATTGGACAAACACAGTCAGTTACAATAACTACATATCGTAGAGTAAAAAACAGAGATGTGTTCGTTTTTTTTTAGACTATTAAAGACTATCAGTCACCATCTCAAAGGCTAACTACAATACTGAGAGCATTAAACAGTCGTATTGAAAAACATGCCTATATTAATATAATATACATAAAGGAAGCGGCGCATTTTGGCTCCAACTAAGCCCTGCTTCGTCCCTAATTCACCTCCTGTGTTTAACACGAAGCTCGATGCGCTTTATGTCGTCTGTGTTAAAAGCCTGCTGTATTCACAAACAATGTGAAAACGACGTCGTTATATTTAGTTAAAGAAGTATTACTCACGCTTGCCTCCTGGCTATTATTCTATGCATGGGAGTCGCCATGTTGCAGTTTACTTTTTCTACTTCGTTGGTGTCAAGGCACTGAGTGTTTCCGACATACTTAAGGCCGCCAGCGCCCCCACTGGTAAGAATAAGAATACGAAGAATAAGAATACGAAGAATAAGAAAATAAGAATAAGAATAAGAATAGACGTATGTACATTTCAAGTCTTCAAATGTAAATACTGAGGTTCTGAGCCTACAATAAAATATATGATGTAAGTTTACTTGACAAATTTAAATATTAAAGTAATGATCCTACAATATTGATTATTATACAAATTTACCAAAGAAATTTCAATGTTAAAGTTAAGACCCTTCGATATTATTACTATATTAATTTCTATGACTGATTGAAATATTAATGTCATAACCTTACATTGTTATTTATCTTCATAATTAACCTGACTTATTTTAATATTAAGGTTAAGACCCTATAATATTATTATTTATTAAATCTTTATTTATCAGTCTAATTTAAATATTAAGGTTAAGCTCTTTTAGTATTGTATACAGCACAAATGTACCTGACCAAAACAAAATAATATGGTGAAGAACACAATATTAAATACTACCATTTCTTTCTTTCATTTTTCAATCAAGCTGTTTACTTTATGGCACTGTTTTAGTATATTAAAATGGTGTTTACTTTTTCAAGCTCGTTGACATCTAGAGCGAAAACTTTTTTTTTTTTAAATTTCTGATTTTTAAAAAAATAGGTTTTGACTCTATTCGTTTAAATAAAACAGTCCCAGTTGGATTACATTTGGTTGTTATCACAAGCATATGGATAATATTGAACTACAAACAGAATTTTTGTCTGTTTTCTACTTGGTCTTATTCACATATAGTCACATGCTTAGATTGAGCATTTGGTCACCAACGCAGTGCACCTCCTACTATTCAACTGTCAGTACACCCACCCATATTTACTATTTGTCAGAGCTGCATGTATGTGTCTTCATCTCTCATTTCTATTTCATGGTTTCTTTTAGTTGTACAGTTTCATTTTTTTAAAAACTAATTTATTTAAATCACATACGTTGGCAAACAAACTCAAGTGTGTTAATTACAATAAAATGAACATCGCTGCAGGCATAGAGTAGGAAAACTTTTTTCATTCGTTTTACTTTATTCTTATATTTTGTCTTATATTTTTGTCCTGAGTTGGATTGTACATCACGTGTACATTATATTGTTTTTTAACAGACTTAAGAGGTATAAGTAATATATTATTACCATAACTTGCAATAAATAAATAGAAAAATACATAAAGAAAAGTAAATGATTTTCAAGTAGATTTAATATGTTCTTAAGAGTAAATGTGTAACTGTGGTTCGCTCACTGAGTGTGTGGTAGTTTGTGAAATATGACTTCATCACACATGCATTACAGTCTATTTTTGTTTCACACCTTGGGCAAATCTGAGACATCGGCAGAGTAAGCAGTTCTTGATTTCGTCGTGCTATTTATTAACAAGGTAAATCGTTAGGGGAAAAATGATTTCAGAATCACTAGAAATCTCAAGATATTTCCCGCAAAACCTCGAGTACTGGAGACCAGTCTCTCACATGGTTATAGAAAAGTCCAGAGATATCTGGAACTACGTAAATCTCGCGATATCACCCGGCGAGACGTCAGTAAGACCACCTTGCTGCTGCAGCCTGCCAGCACAGATCAGAGATACCGGTAATAGTCAGTGGTGTGGATTATGACTACAAGTAGTCCTACCTAACAGCGCAACACAACAACTCCACCTGACTTTTACAAAATTTTAAAGCCGTAGCTACACCTTTGTTTTATTTTCCTCAGTCGTACTGTAGGATAACCTTAAAGCCAGAAGACAGACGTATCGTTGAAGATGTCAGTGGTGGGATTTGACTTGGGCTTTCAAAGCTGCTATGTAGCTGTAGCCCGAGCCGGAGGAATCGAGACAATCGCCAACGAGTACAGCGACAGATGTACACCGTAAGTACCACATATATAGTGTTATATAGTGTAGTTTTGGGGAGAATAGCAGCAGAGGATGTAATTTTTTAAGTGTTGTCTGACCAGTGTAACGGTGATGCACGTGAAGCAGCTTTACTGACTAGCAGCCGTTAGCTAAACTTGTATACTTATGTCTTAATGAATGTGCCGTGTTAATTTATTGAGTTAATCCGTGAAACGTGTGTTAATGTGTTCACGGCGAACATGGAACCACCCAAAATTCATCCTCAACTCATACACCTTGTTCAACCACCAACCGTGGAGCTCCGGCGAGCTAGCTGGTTAGCTAAGCTCACAGTTTTATTAACGGCACTGACTAGTTTGATAACGTTCTTTCTTTCGCCCGGCGAACACGAGCGGGCGGTGTTTCCCCCCCCGTCGTTCTAATTACAGTTGTATTCCACTTGAAGGCGTAAGCTCCGACCAACCGGTGTGCCCCGTGTGGCAAAGTGTGCGTCTTGCGCTATGTTCCGTGCGATGACGACAGCGGACAATCTCCTGTTGGAATATTCTAGCAACATTTAGAGCCTTTAAGACTTAAATGACTTAAAGTGCATTTACGTATCTACAGATATTGTCATTAATAAGTTTCCGTTTACATTGTCTGAGTTCCGCTCATTTGGCTTACACGGAACACGTTGTACTTCCACTAGTTCTGTTGTGTCTTCATTTCTAATGAAAATTTATATTGAGGGGATTTTGGCATTGTTTGTAAGCGGATGACATGTCTACATGTGCTCCCAAGGAGATTATGTGCATAAGTTCAAGCATTGGACTGCTTATAACAATTTATAACTAGATTATAGCTGTAAGATATATGGCCTTTAAAAGAGGTGTTCTGTCATCCCATCAGAAATTTTACGTCTTATCATGATTTTATACATTTATTTAAATATCTCACGTTTAGGGGGATAAAACAACAAAACAACAACATTAAATTCAGGCTTTGTGTTTAAGAGTCTGAAATGCCTAGTTTCTAAGTTTTTGTAGGCATACTATTTTGTTTTAACAATCTGTATTTCACAAACCGTGATTTCATGAAAAGTAGGAATAAAGATAAGGCCCAACGTATGCAAAGTTTTAATATATGGGCACTTTGTCCTACAATTTACAAAACCTAGCAAATGCTTAATTAGGAGAGCCTAGAACAGCTATGTATAGTTTTACAGTATACAAATAGATGTAACCAAAGGTCGTGCCTAGAAATATTTGATAGATGCAGCTATCCCTGGAAAAAGTTGTAGATTTATGTGTTTTTTTTTTTTCTTTTGGCCTGAAGAGATATACAAGTTAGAAAAGAAGATGAAGCCTGTATGAGAACTTACTTATAATGACTTACAATGTATATATCTCAAAGGGAGAGAAAAAAAAACATGTAGCTTGGACCTGTCTATGATTAACATTAAACTTTGCGCCAAGAAGATATTCAATTAAATTCAAAAAACTTTATTTGTCCCCTAGGGGCAATTCAAAAAATAGAGAATATATTTTAAAAACAAACAAACCAACAAAAAACCCTTTAAATTATATGCATGTATGTATTAACTAAGTTGAATTGATTTCAATGATTTGCTTATTTTTTTAACATTTGACATTTATATTGAAAATTTTAGTACTCATTGTTTGAGACTTGTTGTGACTTATTGAGTCTAGCCTTTCATGACCAAGATACTTAATTAATTGGATTAATCAATCTACAGAAAGACAGTAGAGGGAAACTTTCACAATTAAATAATCATTCAAGCCCACAGCTTTGTTAAATATTATTTTCAAATGTTTTTAATGCTTATTTTCAAGATCGTTCCCTTATAATTTTTTTATTTGGTTCATTTTAGATAGTTCTGGATGCTCTTTTGTTTGCGTTTTCTCTCCTTCATATCACCAAAACTGAGCCCATATCACTACATCATCTTTTCTTGGATCAAGCTGTTGCCCAGCATCCACTGAGCCAGTCTCCTAAGAGACTTTGTAGTGTTGGCCTCTCTTTGACATCACCAACTGCACTCGTGTGTTGACAGAAACTGTAGCTCTTTAGTAACGTCTGTGCTTGATAGGGATGATGATGACAGGCATGTTTAGACCACAACCCACTGGGATACGAGTGGATTGAGCACACCACTTCAGACTGTGTTTATATAGCCCTGTGTGAGAGTTGAATCTCAACAAGCTTGCCTTCAAATTCAATTGTGGATTCAAAAGACATTTACCTGTGCTACTATACTATACAAACTGGAAGCAAATATCTTAAGAAAGCTGAAATACTGATTTTGTATGAACCAAAACAAACTGCTAGTGTTGTGACTACAGACTTGGAAAATGATCTGTATTATGTGGGTTGGGCTTCGAAATGTCATGTCATGTGTAGGCATGAGATGACACCATGTAATAACTTCACTGGCAAGTAAATCTGTCTTGGTTTGGGGTGTATTCACAAACTGATGGATTACAACATGTGCATAAAGAACTTTCTTGTAAGAGCATGTCCTAATATTTTGCTTTCATGTTTTCCAGGTCATTTGTATCATTTGGACCACGAAATCGATCAATAGGAGCTGCTGCAAAGAGCCAGGTAAAAATCCGTTTCACTGTTCCTTCATCTTCATCAGAAACAGTATTACTGTTAATGCTTAGATTCAAACTCCATTTTATTTTTATTTCATTTCCCCCTCCTTTGTCTTTTTTTTTTTTTTATCATGTCCAGGTGGTGACCAACTGTAAGAACACAGTACAGGGCTTCAAGCGATTCCATGGCAGGGCTTTCTCCGACCCTTATGTCCAGTCAACCAAGTCTAACTTGGTGTACGACTTGGCACAGATGCCCTCTGGATCCACTGGTATAAAAGTAAGATGACACGTCATTATTGTATGATACTTTTGAGCAGGGCCTTGTCCTCAATTTATTGTAGTATTTTATGCTAAAATAGGCCAGTGAAAAATAAAAAGGGACAGCCAGAAGGAACTAAGTAGACAAAAAACATAGGAGACAGCTTATTCTTGAGTATATCGTGCAGGGCTCCATACTAACTTTTTCACTGGTAACACCAGTGCACAAACTTCTACATTTGGTTTCACCTCCTATCTTGTCACAAGGCAAAACATTGGACTTGCTGCACATTTTCTCATCGATAGATGACAATTTACCAATGTTACCTGAATGCCACACATTGCAGGCTGCGGTAGATGCTGCTTGTTAGCTGTGGTGTGCTCAAGCAGGTGTGTGAGTGAAAAAAAATCACATTAAAAATAGTTAAAATAGGGTGTTCTAATGTCAGATTTGTCCAAGATGACTTTTCTACATGAGCTGTTTACTATGAGTGGAAAAAACAGTACATGTAGGTGCACTCCTCATTTCACGAGAAGACCACACTTTTCAGTGTAAATACCTCAGTTCACTGAAATTTTGAGAAGTGCTGGTTTTCACCCTGTGGTTAACACAGTCGCTGCCTGCGGTGAGAGCGACACTAATACAGCTTAATGAGCATCATGCACTCACACCAATGCGACCACTTAAAATTTTAATTCGCACAGTCTCAAACAAAGGTCGCAAATGCAACTATTTTGGTTGCAGTCTGGAGCCCTGCAGTGTCTCCACTCTTAACTGCAGTGCTCTCAGAAGTGCCTCATGTAATGGTCTTTCCTCTGAATCATAGCTCTTCTACTTTATCTTCCCATTCTATCCAAGTTCTCAATGCTTTTATCCTAAAAGAAGTCTCTTCTATCTTTCTTTCATTATGTTTGTTTTTGTGGGGATTTTGCCTCTCAGAGTATTATTCTATGGTCAGAATGATCATGATATTATCGCTCTGAGCCTTCCACTCAACGGACAAAGTATTAAAAATGCACTAATCTTCAGTGCTATCAAATAGCTAGTGTAAAACTCAGAACATACCCCAAGTTCTGCAAGTATGCAAATGACAGTGCGTGGCCAGGCACACTGTAAACACACAGCCCGACATGTTGCTGTGTCCCTGTGGAGATGATTAATGTGAATCCTCAGGATAAATGAGAGCAGAAGAAATGTCAAATCAAAGAAGGCTGCATCCGCCTGTTGTTGCCTGCAAAATTACTCGTTGCGTTAAGAGTTTTCACTTTACATATTTTATTACATTTACATATTTTTCTCAGTTCTGAGAAAACAACTGGTCTTGTGGAGGCTTGTTTTATGAGCAGTTTGTTAAAATGCATTCAGTGAAGCTGTGGTTGTTTGTCACATTATTGTTTTCTTGTTTCTAAAAATATTAAAATTCATTGCCTTGTGTATGTACATGTAACCCAGGTGAAAACCGGGTTCACTAATTAATATTATTTTGGTTATTTATTTTATTTACACCAGGAGATGTACAACAAAAAAAATATTTTATTTTAATTGTTGAAATGAATCACACAAGTGTTGCAAAATAATGATGCACTTGAACTCAGCTTGCTGGATCACATGATCAGTCACAGCCAATGAGATGTCAGCAATCGCGTGTACCCGAAAACAAGGCAGCGCGCGTAAGTTTCCTTTTCCTCTTAATCGCGGGACATCGCAGCGAGAGGCCACACATGCAGCGAGCAGAGCAAAGAGTGAGCAGAGAGCGATAAAGCGGAGTGAATATAAAGTAAATACACCATTCTGACACATGTCGCTAATTAACACACCTGTGTGCATTTCCTGCTGTATTTTGCTTGCGTTTTGATTAGTTTTGTTGCCGATTTTAGGCTTAAAGAGAGCGTCATTCGCTTCCTCATTCAGCGGCACCACATGGAGAGGCAGAATCGCTTCTTCACTCGGTGGTGAAATTCGTGAATATCGGTGAGACATCTCATGGCTGTTGACATGCAAGCTGCTGCTGTTATTTATTATTTGAAGGGAAAAATGTTGCATTAAACCCAGTAATTTCTGTAGTTATTCACATGTGTATCGAAGGGTTGAATCACTGTGGTGTGTATAGCAGAAACATGTAATGTACATTTCAGCCACAGGGCTAATTCATGTTAATGTGAAATATTATTTTATGTGTATGAAATCACATTTAAGGTAAAATGATACATTTTGCTGTGTTAAATGTGTGAGTTTCTGTGAAATATTAATGTCTTAAGTGTTGATCATTGTATAGTAATTGTTTTTGCACTAAAAACAATTTCATACTTTAAGTTAGATGCATTTTATGCTGCTTTGAATAAGTTGTCAGTTTCTACTGACAGTGGTTAAGCTAAAAATAGTTAAATACTATTTTCTTGTTGAACCTGAATAGGATTAAGATTTATATAGCTGGGATAACATAATCCTACTGTAATAGAAATTGAGACTGTGTTGTACAACAAAAGAGAAAGTTTAGAGAAATACTGGAAGAAATATGTTATAGAGAAATAGAATAGACTTTAAGCCTGTATTTTCCAATGCAGGTCAGGTCTTGAAGTATACCGGTTTTCAGGCCTTGAAGTGGACCGGTCTTTAGGCCTTGAGGTTTTNTACAAAATGACAGAAATGATTGGCCTTGAGAGTAATCATCTTCCTTCTTCTCACCAATTCTAGGTGATGTACATGGAGGAAGAGAAGGTTTTCAGCATCGAGCAGGTTACAGGCATGCTGCTGACCAAACTGAAGGAGACTGCTGAAAGTGCACTGAAGAAACCAGTTGCAGACTGTGTCATCTCGGTAAGCATTCCTGCAGACAACCACGACAGCAGGGTTTCTAAAAATCTATAAGACATCTTGAACTGATTTGTCAATGCTGTGCATTAGTTTCTTGTGAAAATCTGTCTGCTTACCAGGTCCAACTAGATGTTTTTCAGAATTGTCTGTGTCGCAATGTTTTTTAAAAAAAAAAATTGTTTATTTTTCTAATCCATTTGGCATTAATGTCTAAGGAGGTGTTAATTTACATGGTGGATCCCTGCACACAGCTTATTTAAAGATGTGACATTGCACTGACGAGGCTTCAAGGGACCCATGAGTCACCATAAAATGACTTTACCTACTGTACTGATGTCCTCTGTACTTGAGTAGAACATTGCATTCTATTTACATCCTGCTATATGACTGGCAGCTATTAATGTCATCCTCTTGCATTTCCAAGCAGTTTGGATTTAAAAAAAAAAAAAGAAAAAAAAGTGAAAGCTGCCTGCAAGGTGTATTATGTATTGCCACCTGTTCATGTGACATTTTGAGCTCCAAGCACCTCACCAGATGTCTTGTCTGGAAGCTTTATTTCCTCTCTCGCACCTTGTTGGTGAAGTGTGGGAAGTGTGCGTTTCTTGAGCTCACTGTATGCATTCACCAATAGCATCTGTTATGTAATGTCACAGATTTCACACAGAAAGGCTGTTACTTTAACTGGGCCTAAATCTACAGTTTACATCAGCCCTGAAGATGGATAACATGTTATTATTACTGTGGCCAAGTAGCTAAATTTAGCTCTTGAGCTTTTCCCCAAGGAGATGTTTTGTTTTGGCACCCAAGGTAACTAGCATGGTAATTTTATCCAGACATCTTGTGAGGAAGGCGATTTGTACACTGTTAGTGTCCAAACTGATGTTTCACATGGAAGAAATGAGGGACATTTTAGGCACGCTGTTAGCCTCACCACAATTCCATGTGTATACATTTTTTATTATTTAAATCGACAAATCCCTCACTCTAACACTTTCTATATTAGTATTTTCACTCACTGCATTATTGTTTTCTTTTCTTTGCAGGTACCAAGCTATTTCACTGACGCAGAGAGGAGGTCTGTCATGGATGCAGCTCAGATTGCAGGCCTTAACTGTCTACGACTAATGAATGAGACCACTGCAGGTACATAGGAAATTCGTAAACGATGCAGGATAGGCAACATCTGAACTATTTTGATGAGTTATTTCTCATTCTTCTTTATAGCCACACTAGAATGTTATAACAGTGAAATAGGGTCTCAAGGGTACTTAGTCAGATATGTTGTCTTGCAGATATTTTAAGAAAGCCACATTATTGCTGAGTAAATGTAGCCTGCTTTTAGCCAAATTGTAAACCCTTTTAAATGTCACATTGGTGCTACAGTACATTTACAGAGACATGCTGAAACACAGATTTATGTACTAGTTTGTAACTTAGTCAGATACAGTGTAACAGATAAGTGTTTTTAAGCATTGCTTACATTTTTTGTCTATGTATTTACAGTCTGGTAGTGACAATTGTCTGTTTTTCAGAACAGAATTATTTTAGGATAGTGTAGTTGAAATACAGCTCACTGTTTAGTATGCTGATTTAGTGGTGACTAAAAACTAACATCGGTTTATACCTGACTGTTTGTTGCAGTGACTCTGGCGTATGGAATCTACAAGCAGGACCTGCCAGCTCCAGAAGAAAAACCCAGGATAGTGGTGTTTGTGGACGTGGGCCACTCCGGTTACCAGGTGTCAGTTTGTGCCTTTAACAAGGGAAAGCTCAAGGTGAGTGATGAATAATTTGTGCCCATTTTGAAAAGAAATACTNTTCTGCACATTAAAGTGCCACTAATTGTGAGAGTTGGTCTTGTGGTGGTCATTATACTCTTCCCTGCTCCTTAAGGACCTAGAAGTGAGAAGCCTGTTTATTCCAGGATTGGGTTACAGGGGTAAAAACTTGGCGAGCCAGCCAGGAGCAGGGCAGTAGTGTAATTACTGTGCCACAATTGATTCAAGCAATATATATTTGTTCCTGTCGTAAAATTTCATTTTGGTGACACCTATTGGTAATTTTGAGTGAAATAACAGAAAATGGATATTGTTGACAAAGAAAACATAAAAGTACCGAATTCACTCATCATTAGTGGATTATCTCATACTACTGTTGATGAAGAAATTTGTGATTACCTGAAGCAGTATGGTAGAATCAGAAGGATCCTTAAAATTGATAATCCTGAGTCTGGATTTCACAAACATGCCATTTTGGAATTTGAATCAGGTGAAGCAGTGCAGACACTTGAAGTCACTTTACCCCTTGACAGGCCAAGCTCTGCAGATCCAGAGATCATTCACCATGTTAAAACACTAGCGAGTGTTTATAGCAACGAAGTAGGCACTGGAGTCACCCAGACGTTCCTGTCTGAGCTAGGTAGCATAGCCAAACTGAGTGGAAAGTCCTTTGAGGACATCTTGCGAGAGGAACTAACTAGAATAACTCAAACCATTGGAAGGCAGACCCCCTCTCCAACTACAAGAGCTCAGCCTAATCTGGCATCAGCTAACTCAGAACCACATACAGACCCCAGAATACCAAACCCTACCTCTGCTGACAATCAACCTCATCTTGAACCCGCAGCTGCAGTATCTTCTCCTGTTATAGAAGAGTCCATACATAACTTGAAATTGTCTCCTGATCAGCTCAGTACGCCTGAAGTTCAGCGTGTAGTAGTGGAGCACATTGTGAAAAGCACAGATATTGCATCCCAGTTTCACTCACATGCTAAGCTGAGATCATTCTCAGGACGAGTTCCTTGCCCCAACTATGAAGTTGACTTTGATACCTGGAGATCCAGTGTTGCTTTCTATTTGACAGACCCAACTGTTTCTCACTCCCAGTTGGTCAGAAAAATAGTTGACAGCCTTCTGCCTCCTGCCAGTAATGTGGTGAAACACTTAAGTCCCCAAGTCAGTCCAGGCATTTACCTAGATTTGTTGGACTCAGCTTATGCAACTGTTGAAGATGGGGACGAGTTGTTTGCTAAATTCCTAAATACTCACCAAAATGCAGGAGAGAAGCCGTCTGCTTATCTTCATAGGCTGCAGACCTCCCTAGCAGCAGTTGTGCAAAAACAAGCTGTAAAGGCGGATGATGCCGACAGGCAGCTACTCAAACAGTTCTGCAGAGGATGTTGGAACAACACTCTGATTTCAACACTCCAGCTCGAACAGAAGCAGAGTAATCCACCAACTTTCTCAGAGTTCTTACTACTTCTGCGCACCGAAGAAGATAAACAGGCAGCCAAAGCAAACCGAATGAAGCAACATCTCGGTTTCGTCAAGACCAAAGCTCAGTCCCAAGTGCACAATGTTCCTGATGATGGTGAATATAACTTACCTGCTCGAGACAGCGACCAACATTCAGAATTTATTCAAATCAAAAAACAAATTGTTGATCTCCAAGCCCAGATTGCAACGCTCTTACATGTTAAAGGAGAAAAATCTGACCGCAACAAAACAGCAAAGAAAAAAGTTGAGCAAAAAAAGGAACGACCTGCTGAGAGGCAGCCAATAACCACACCTGCTCCTGCAGCTAAAAGACCCAAGCCTTGGTACTGCTTTCGATGTGGCGAGGATGGACATATTGTAAGCGGCTGCAGCAATCCTCCAAACCCCACACTCGTCGGAGCCAAAAGAAAAGAGCTTAAAGAAAAGCAGCAGGCCTGGGATCAGACAAACCCTTCCAGTGACTCTTTAAACTAAGAGTTGTTCCTATTGAGGGGCAAATAGGGGCAAGTGAAATTAAGAGTTCCCCCACTGAGCATAAAACAAAAGCCAGAGCATCACTTAAAGACCACAGAGCTACACGAACAAGAAAACTGCCTCATGGTCTTGTTGGGAGCAAGAGCACAGCTAACATCAAAGTTAATGGTGTTGACTGTAACTCATTGCTAGATACAGGGTCACAGGTCACAACTGTGTCTCAGTCTTTCTACAATCTGCATCTCTCGGACCAACTCATCCTTCCAGTGACCGACTTACTGGAAGTTGAAGGAGCTAATGGTCAGTCTATTCTTTATGTAGGCTATGTACAGTTGAATGTGCAATTTCCAAAAGAGTTCATTGCTTGTGAACCTCAGGTTCAAACTCTTGCCTTGATAGTTCCAGATCTTCGTTGCAACAGCGACATACCAGTATTGATTGGAACTAACACCCTTGACCCACTTTTTGAACAGTTCTGTAATGACTGTTCTTTTCAGGCTAACCCATATTGTGGTTATCAACAGGTTCTAAAAACCCTGCAGATCAGACATCAACAGAACTCAGACGGACGTCTTGGCTTTGTCAACCTGCGAAGCCGAGAGCCAGACATCATACCTGCTGGACAGAAAGTTGTGTTGGAAGGTTTTGTTAATGTGAGTAACAATCACAACAACGAAAAATGGGCACTACTTGAACAACCTACCGATTCATCCTTACCACATGGGATCTTCACTGACAACACACTCATTACGCTTCCACTACATTCTCCATACAAGATTCCTGTAGTGTTAAGAAATGAAACCAGTCATGATGTTGTGTTACCAAGAAACTGTGTCATAGCTGAACTCTGTGTTCCTCAAGAAATCATTCAACCATGTCAGTCACAAGCAGCTTGTTGCTCCAGCCAACAACATTCAGCTGGCCACACAAGTCAACAGCAAGACGATGTCCGTGTGAATCTCAAATTTGATTTTGGAGATTCTCCAATTTCTGAAGAGTGGAAGACTCGAGTCACTCAAAAATTGGATTCTTACTCTGACGTCTTTTCTCATCATGACCTTGATTTTGGTC